GTCCCACATTAAGGGAAGTACCGTCTGGACTGTGACACCAATCACCACTCGCATCCGAAAATGCAATAAAAGCTGACTGAGAGGAACCACATTCCACCCACCTTTTATCCACAGCTTCAATCGAAACTTTCTTGTGACTGTTTCAACAAGCACCGAATAACCTTTGCCAGTGCCACCTCCATTCAACACCTTAAACAACAAGCACCACAGTCGCACATTCACTTTAGTTATTCACTTCAGACACCACATCCGATTACCTAGGTACGGGAAAGAGAGAGGCGGAGGGCAACAGCCACACAACGCACATGTACGCCAAAGGGAGAACAAAAGGCTTCATCATCAAAATTGCATGTCAGCGAGAGATTTGCGCGGTGTGGGTGTGAGTTTATGTGCGAGTGAGCGAATGAGCGTACAAGTGAGGCAGGATATTCGTACTCAAATTTTGCTAGTGGTGTGAACAAGAGACAGAGACAGATAGAGAACGCGCGCGATCAACACGGGATGAGAGGGAAAGGTGGGGGCGTCAGTTTCGAGCTAAAAAAAGACGGGAAGGGAGGAGGGAAGGGGAAAGGAAAATGGACACGAAACAGGCCTCACCACGCAAACTTAGGCCCACTCCGCACACCGGTGCCAAATCCAAGACGGCGTTAGAGAGGGAAAAGGTAGACGGAGGGGGCGTGAGTGTGGCTGCAACAGACGGTCAAAGCAGGCCGCGCAACTGCATGACCAAGAGCCTCTGACTGACTTAGAGGAAGTAGTCCGGAGTACGACGGGACACGTGCGGCTCTCCGCGTCTTGGCGCAGGGTCGAATTGGAGGCTAAAATTAATCACTCAGTTGACGATAGTACAATGCAATCCAGACCGGAGGAACTGACAAAGAAAATCTCAAAGATGGGAAACAATTAAGTGCTTTCTCAGCCCAAGTCCGAGGGCTGCTCGTGTAGTGGGCGGGAGTTGAAGGATTAAGCGTTGCCAGTACTACCGATAGGCCTGTAATCTACGCAGACGCGAAAGAGGCAACAAAAGCGTGCGAGTAGTAAAAATTAGCTACAAGACTCATTTGTGGAAATATCCAGGACTAGAAGCATGGTAGAAGGATAACCAAATCCTTCCAATGCCGCACCTCAGAGGAGATGGACGAGGTGAACGTTTGGATAGTATTCGGCCAGAGCCGGTGACGGCAAAGGCGGCGAAAAATTTCCTTCCCCAATTATATGCAGCTTGTCGTCATGAGTCAAGCGGTAAAAAACACGAAGCACTTGACGACACCCCCACTACGACTTCCCCTTTCCATCCAAGTGACGCAATTATGGATCAGTGGCAACAACAGTGACACGCAACCGGTGCAATCGAGTCGGCTGGACTGAACGGCTTCGAGCAAATACCTTCCAGTCATATAGTTCCCTCTCTTCGATACCCTGCAAGACACCAATTTCTCGAAGCTGGGAGCCCAGTCACTCCCAAACTCCCAGCGCCTGATGAATATCACGGGGGGAAGAGAGTAATCAAACAAGGAAAGAGCACAATGCGGAATAACGATTGAATAATCGAAAAACGCATTGCATCACTACGGGGGTGACGCACTAAAAATCGAAGCGAAAACTACATGAGCACCTCAAAGTACAATCAAAGAGAGGGCCGTTTAACAAACTAGATTGATGAACCAAATGAACGAAAATGGATACTGAGATGGGTGAGTGACAAAAAAACTACTGAGATCAAGTCATCCCACTGTCTAATTGGCTATCGATGTTGACAACACGAGAAGATTGCGGCAGTTCAATGACCAAAGACGAATGAAAGCAAAGAAATAACGAGAATACAGAGAATCTATCCATCGAAATTCGGGCAGTGGTATTCGCAAGTAAAAAATCAAGTGCATCATAACCAGGGTACACGCAGGACTATTGTCCCAACCCTTCGGTGGTGTTTTTTTGTACAAACACCAATCGTGGTAAAAAGCGTAAAGTCCAATCAACGAAGTTCGCAATACGACCAACACATCGATGAAAATGAACCAATACAAAAAAAATGCAGATATAGAGTGAGGATTCTACCATTATCAAGCCAACACAAATAATAATAAAAACAAAAACGGCGAATTCTGCGAAAAAGCGGACGTAAGACAAAGTGACGGATGGAAAACTTACAAGGTGTACTTTAGATTGTCGTCCAACTCCATTATGGCCGCCTGATTACCACATCGATAGCAGTAGTTGGGAGCACTGAAGATGGTGACGACATTGCGCTCATGGCACCAGTTGAAGCCCTCCATTACCAGTTGATGCGCGCGACTGATCAAGGAGAGGCTATTACTGTGGTTAAATTGCTCTGAAATGTCTTGTCCGAAGGTATAGCCAGCACCCCTTGGACTGATGCCCCAACCACCTCTGTCATCCGGGTCTGACCACAAGAGGTCACACATCGGACCCTGAACAAAAAGCAACGCGATATGACAGCTGACTTTGAGGCAATAAAATATAATCATCTATGGTTTTGACGACATCGGTCGGCAAAATGAAACGCGAGGCCACAACGAATACTCTACAACTGAGATGAACGTTAAAAGACCGATTACCAAGAAAATGCAAGTTTCAATGCTAAAGTAATGTTTATTCGATCTAAGAGACTGACTTTGCACCGTGAGTAATTTGAAGCGGTGCGAGAACTAAGCAAGAGGAGGTCCTAAAGCTATCTGTGAAGCAAAATCGAAAATAACCGATGCATTTGCATACCAAATACTCGAGTCCACAGTTAGAGCAAAGGCAGATCGCGTCATGTTGAGCGTTTGTCCACGCTTAAGGGAGCCCCATTGTAATTTAAATTCATGACTAGTACATCTACTGATAAGTAATGAAACAACCTGGCTACTAAACTAAATCACAAAGTTTTGGAAAGCGAAGTGCTCTTTACTGGAACAACCTCCCTGTATCAAACCCCATGTTGTGATATGATCGGATCCAAGTACTGCGTGTAGAGCCAATAACAACTACGACTCCCTTGCCTTGCACCACGGTAGTCTGCTCGCAGCAACTGAAAGTTGATCCAAGGAATTCCAGTGATCAATTGCAAATGTCAATAGCGGCGACACTAACAGCTGACTATGATATAGAAGAACAGGACTGCGCTAAGACTGAAGCTGCAACCTAACAGACAATTTACAAGTGCCAAATAGCTTTAATTTCAGGAAATGCTAGATATAGGGACAAAAATAGCTGTAAATGACGTAGCAAAATAGTTCATACAGAATAGCCTTCAAAGTTAAACAGCATCCGAACCAAAATTCGGTGACCTGGGGTAATACTCCTTTTGGGTTCCGATCAGGTGCACAGTTTAAACTTGATGACAGCAAGATTGCCTAGGAACATTTCAGGCGGTTACGGAATGCACACAAACTATGGGATCGTTGGCTTTCAAAAGCAATTTATCATTTAAAGAAGTTGCTTCTAAGAGTGAGTGAGTGCTACAAAATTTCACAAGAAACAAGCGAGTCGTAATGGAGTTATCGAAAATAAAACCACTTCTATCCCTGGATGCAGAGGTGTACAGTCAGTACATTTAAGCTCTCTAGAAATGACGAGCAGGTACTACTTCTGAATATAATCGGCAATCAGTAACTGTTATACTCAATGCAAACTGACGATGGACCTTACCAGCTCGCCATCGGGAATCGCAGCGAGGACAATTCCAGATGTAATAAGCCGCACAGGACTTCTGCTTCGGATTAAAATATGCGACCATAAACCCTCTCAAAA